GTATTGTTACATTTAAATGTGACGAATGTATATATAGATTGGTTATCCAAACACTCAAAGATATAAGGACTTAAAAATAAAGCTATATATATATAGTTCGTTTGCTTATAGCTAGTAGGGCCTACATAGGTAATGTGTTAAATATTAGGTTTTTAAGCCTGTCCAAAGAAATAGTTTAAAAAATGAGATAAAGATTTAACTATACCAAGAGTTAGTTTACCAGCTTTGCTAAATGAAACTGAAAAACATTATACATGTTTGTTTTCCAGTCATGAAACTACATGAGAAGTCGTTACTATTAATAAAACAGTTTAATAATTAACTACAATATCAGTTTAAAGCAAACGTCTTTTTGTTATGGAGTTTCAGTCTTTCACATTTATAATCGCTTTGCTTACTTACGTGCTTATTTTGTACTTTTAATATACTTGTAAAACCAAGACACCTAAGAACCCGGTAAACAAGAGGATTATATAAAAATCAAGGGCACTACAGAAGTGGATCACTCTCTGATAGCATAAACAGAAACACTTGGTCATTTTTTGATGGTTGTGGCTATTTATCCAGTAGCTGGGTACCAAATGACAGTTTGGCTATTTTTGAATTAAGAGTTTGGCTATTTGCTCAGCAGCTATTTTTGAATTAAGAGTTTGGTTATTTGCAGGACAGATTGAAGAATTATATGAGTAATGATGTTATCTTATTGAATAAAAATTATATATTTAATATTGGCTGATTTCGAGTTGGCTTAGCTCTACCATTAATACAAATTGGTGCACATCTCAAGCCTAACAAAAAACGAGATTTTCCTTAGCCCATAATGAATGCCATGCTTAAAACGAAACCCATTAATAAAAGAAAATGGAAGCAAAAATGATCGAAAGGTATATTTATTTTACATCGATCTCATTCTACATATGATGGTGGTGGTTCTAAATTTGTAGTTCATGGGCTTTCTTCTAGTGGTTCATTGAAAGGTTGCATAATTACAGAAAGGAAGCAACGGCTTAGTGTTGTAGTATTGGACAGTGCAATATGTTTGCTACACTTTTATGTAATGTGTAAATCTTTTGGAATTTCTGTTGCATGCCACAAAAACTGCAATCTGAGAATGTTACATAATTTAATGGAAGTTCTCCTATCGACGTTGGTCTTTTGCCATTGATACAAAAGGCCATATCTACGACCTCTATCGAGCCACAGGTTCATGGAGAAGTACAGTTAGGAATTTTCTGGACTACTGTGTTCTACACTAAACTTGAAGTTTGTTGTACAGAAAATATAGATAACTGTGGGAGGATTTATATAGGGATCCCAGGTTGTTATTGACCAGTGGGCTTCAATCTCTCCACTGGATAATGTCACTTGTGGTAAGGAAGTGCCTGTGGTGAATGAAGTATGCCAATTGGAATCATTTCCTCGTCAGGAAAGACAACGCTCACCTAGTGGGGTAAACATTCATCACCTGGAATAGAAAAGAGCCTCTCAGAGATGTAAAAAAAGCTATTTGTGTAGAGCTAGCTCACGAGTTTTTACCACCTCGTTATTCTGTTGATTGAAAGTAGGACAAAAAAAGTCTCCTTGAGAAGCTAATTCCAGTAAGGATATTTATTTTGTTCTATTAGTATTAATTCGGTTTAAAGTTTACCATTAGATTTTTGAACATGAAAAAAACCTAAACTACCTGCAAATATTAATGCTGCAAGTTAGTAATTAGTGACATAATTATTAAATTCTTATACAAAATTAATATCAGTCTAGGAAACATCATTTTCATTCTTTCTCTGCATCTCCTCAAATAAAACTAATCTACTTGCATCAATCTATAAGTTAAAATACAATTAATAACAACGCTTGCATCTTAACATTTAAGTATCACTAAAACAAGATGTAACTGAAAAATCAAGGCTATGATTGGTAGAGTTTTGTGACAAAAATCAAGGCTATGATTGGTAGAGTTTTGTGACAAAAATCAAGGCTATGATTGGTAGAGCTTTGTGACAAACATCAAGGCTATGATTGGTAGAGCTTTGTGACAAAAATCAAGGCTATGATTGGTAGAGCTTTGTGACAGACATTTTCTTTGTATCCTAACACCAAGTTTATTTTTTTAATATTTGAAGTTTGCACACTTGTCATATCATTGATATCTGTGAAAGAAGGGAAAAATATGGATGTTTCTGTTATATTTATTTTTTCTATATAACAATACATGCAATTCGGGCAATGATGACATAAAGAAATATATATTTACATACACACATGTACATACATCTGTGACTGCTTGAATTTTTGTTTATTGAAAATCAAATCAAAAGAGCATGAAACAGTTGAGAACTGTATTTTTACTCTATAAATATTTATAATAAAAACATCAGCTTTCATAAAGTTGCTGTAGCTTATTCACCTTTTGTTTTAAAAATAAGGTATTTGATATTTATTATTTTGTCAACTTTCTTTTAAATATGCATAATGAAGATAAAATCTGAAATGCTAACCACTAGGCTACACCCAGCCCTCAAAAGTTGTAAACAAATGAAACAGTACTTATACAAATGTTACTTGTAGAATACCAATCAATGTAATTTATAAAGTTTGTAGACAACTGAAGACAGAGATTGTGAGCAATCTAAAACAGGAACTTGCATTTATTGTTTTTTTTTTCAAGAACAGAGCTTCAAAGGACTCTCAAAGCTATACCAAAAGCTTGTAAGAGTGACATTTTGAAAACAGGTCTTAGGTCTATCTCAGTTATATCATATAATATCACATGTATAAATGAATCGCATGAGTACTGAATAAAAATACAGAACAGTTATATATCTGATACTGTTTATTTCAGTAAATGTACACAATATAAGTTCACTTGAACTGATTCACAAGTTTTGCCGTTTTGTAATCTGCTCGCAATTGAACAAAGTTCAATAACACTGCCCTCTCCAGACCAGCCTGAAAATAAAAATACAGAACATTGGTAAATCATATGTTTGAATATACAAGCACATTAGGATATGTTACAATGCTAACCTTCGTGTCTAGATTATACCTAGTTCTTCTTTACTCGTGCTTCAACTGAAGCCATACTTGAAAACTTCCCTCTTAAAGGTCTCTGGTAGTGTAGAAATTTCATGAAAGGACCTTTATCTTTCAATTACTTCCACAGTTATGTAGTTCAAGTTAAACTCAACTTTATGTATGTAAGAAGCAAGAAAAGCTAACATATGTACAATCAATGATGATAAATGGTGAATGCCACTTCAAATATCATTTTAACTGCATATCAATACTAGGTATATTATTTTTTTAAGCTACGTATTTCCATAAAAATTATATGAATCCTTAAAGTTAAGTCAAAATTACAGGATTCTCATGTCATTTGTTTTCTGCAACCAGAAGTAATAAAAACATTATAAAGTAACAATGATCAAGATTTGTTTATTCTATCAACTTACCAGCTGATCTCCAGTGCACACTTGTTTCAAGTTATCTGGTACAACTACTAATAAATTACAGAGGGCATGAAGTGTGTCAAAAAGGGAATTAAGAAGAGGAACTCGGAACTCCTTGATACATCGTCGGTACTCGTTGACATCACAGATAACTACCATGGCTCCTGCATTCAACCCACAAGAAGTTAAAAAAAATAGTTATAACAAATCTATACGTTAATAAAAATATTTAAGTTCTAAGTTTTAAATTTATTCAAATTTATTTGAGCTATTCCATATAGAAAACAGGAGGCTAAACAAAACACCAGTATAAATGTACAAATCAGCTTTAGAATATGAAAATCCATAGTGCAAATCTACGCTCTGCAGTGAGATATTAGTATTAGCTGCTGCACAGTAATGCTTTGTCAAAGCTTTAGACCAATACCTTCACTTACTCCGTATGCGTCAAAAACTTTGTATTGTTACTTTCACCTGCATCATATACATCAAAACTTTACTTTCATCTGCCTCGTGCATATTCTAACTTTAAAATGTTTCTGTCATCGACCCACAGGTACATCAAAACGTTAACATCATTACCTCATGTTATATCAAAATTTTAGCCCATTATCTTCACCTGTCCCAAGCCTCATGTACATCCTAACTTTACAGTGTTATCTACTTATCTTCACCTGCCCCACATATGTTAAAACTTCACATCATTACCTACATCTACCTCACATCTAATGCTTCATGTTAATATTATGTCAAGAATTCACATTTTAATACTTGCAATAAATGACTCGATAACACCAGATTGTTGTTTTTCTTTAACTGGACACTCAATGTTTCACTTAACGGCTTCTTCAGAAGCATTCCACTAAAACACAAACCATAACTAGAACACTCCTGGAGATGCTGTAAAGCGAAACATTGAGTGTCCAATTAAAGAAAAACAACAATTTGGTGAAATAAGGTTGTTTATTTCTAGTACTAAAATGTCTTCTATACACCAATATGCAATACAAAAATTAAATAGCAAAATTTCACGTTGTTACCTTCACTTGCTGTATGTCAAACTTTATGCTGTTACATTAAACTGCTTTAATGGCTTTCCAACCAATAAAACCAAAGTGTAAACAATAAAATCAATAATCCTAATGATTCGTTTATTTGACAATACATACAATTAGACTGATGATATTTTCCATTTCAATGCTGCGTGCTGTACAGCCTGCGATGAGATCTTTTGCAATATATCAAAACTCATCAGGTCAGTTCCACATATAGCAAGCAAAGCCTCAGACAAAACACTTTATATTAATCATTTATGAAATAATTATTATTGTATGGAACACATTACATTGGCACATTATGATCTACAGATCAGCGGTTTGTGTAACAAATCTTTCAGTCTCATTGTGGTGTAATGTCACACAAACCACTAATATATATATGTCATGCTTTGCTAGCTTAGGTTGTAATAAACCACAATAAGTGATAAGCTTAATCATTCATTAAAAATGTGTAAATAAAATGTTTAACATTTTAGTCATCTCATAAGCATGCCATACCTTCTTTAATCTTTTCCAAATTTTAATTAATTTCTCAGCAAAATTTATATAGATATATATATTTCAAGAATAATTCTTTTCAATTTTGAAAAACTGCATTAACTTGGAAATATTTCTAGATTTTTCTCTAACAACAAAAGTGTATTTTAAATTCCAAGCTATTTCTAATTTGATTACTCACAGAAAGATAGGCTAAGAAATTAGTTTTTTTTCATTTATTAATGTTTATGTTAACTCTAAATTCTCTTCATTTTTTATCTTTATTGAAAATTCTTTTTTTCAACGGTGCATGATTGAGCTTCTTATTGCTGTAATTTCCTTACAATTTCCTGATTGGTCACAAATTAGAACTATTTCTTAAATATTTGTTTCTTTGTTGAATTTCAAGCAAACTACTTGAGAGCTAGTAGTCTCTAATTTTGAAGTTATAGACTAGAGGGAAGGCATATAGTCAACATCGCCAACTCTTGACCTATTCTTTACCAATGAAAAGTGAGATTGATCATCTATTATACTGCCCCTAAGGCTGAAAGGGTGAGCATTTTTAGTGGCTTAATTTAAACCTATGACCCATATATGGCAAATCAAGTGCCCTAACCACTAGGCCATGCCAGGCCTATTTTCTTAAGTACTTTTAATTAATTTGCCTAAAAGCTCCAAAAAAATTTTGGTCTAAGTACAATTTTTGTTGTATTAAATTATTCAAACATCTATGATTCTTAATACCAAATCACAGCTGACTTTTCAAGTGATGTTACAGTATTTTATTTTATTATTCTCTGTAATAAACACAGCAGTCACCATAGCTTATCATACCTAGTCAGTTGTTTTGTTGTACTAGTTTATTATTGAACTACATTCAACGAGTATTAACCTTCTTAACAGGTTCGCTACCACATAATAAATTAAGTATAGAAAAAAAATCAAACATTCAAGAGGTGCCAAAAGTCACAGTGTCCAAAAATCACATGCCACAAAAGAAATTTGGCTTTGAAACGTAACTGTCTGTAACCCACTGGTGTGTCACGTGGTCCATAACTAAAAGTTGTTAGTGACCCTCTGATGGGGCACATGGCAGCAAATGTGTTAATAAACTAAATCAACATGCACCTGTAATAGACCTTTTGAAGTTCATTACTTTGTTTTATCTACATTGGCAGAAAGTTGTGTCATTAGTATTTAGAGTTTGTACCCGAGGTGTTTCGAATCATCACTAAATGAAATTGGTGAAAAGTTATTCCACAATTAACGGTAGAATTAAAGCTCATGATAAAGAGTTTATGTTCATCTAACTTTATAGTGGAATAGTTTAGAGCTATTACTAACCTACAGAGTTATACTGGAATTGCTGTAAATGCTCATAAATTGCTCGATGAAATCTAGTTCCGAGTTCCGTCAAAGTGCTTTCAACATTCTTTCCATCCAAACTATCTCGAACTTTCTCAACATATTGGCCAATGAATTTTACCACTTTCATACATGCCTAAAAAAAAAGAAAAATATGAAATTAATGAATTATCAAAAACAAATGACAAGTTTTAAAACAATTTCAAATATGAACATCATTTCATCCTATTAGTAACTGCTGTTTGAACTTGTTCTTATAAAAAAAAAAAAATTAAAGGCTTGAACATTTCAAAATACTTTGCAAATGCACGTTAATTTTTAATGAAACAAATACACTGTATCCCTAAATTTAAGCTGTTTTTAATGGTATGTAAAACTAAATATTTTTCTATTTGTATATCATCATTACTAATAAGCTTGTAAATTATGTTGCTATACCTGCCATACAAATTGAATAATTTTATCACCAATGAAATTTTTCAAGAAATGGAACAAAAGGTTGATAATGTAATAAAACTACAGTCCTCACTGGTGTTGCCATGGCAATAACCATATCTTCTGACTCTGGCCTGAAATCAGTTTTCTTCTGTTCTGACTGAAGTATTAATCGTACCCAGCCCACTAAAGCTGAGATTGATCTATCACAAAAGAAAAAAAAATATATATATATATATTTGTATTCATGTATTAATATCTACAATATCACCTTCCACTTTCAAAGTCTTGGTACATAAATGATTACGCTTTACGCAGCTTTAACCACATGAACAATAAATAGTTTTATGAGAGAAAGTGAATGTAAAAAAGGAATACAAACACCGTTTGTGTATATGCAAGTCAAAACAGGTTTAGCATCAAATTAATATCAATCAAAGTGTTATTAAAATATCACTTTGAGATTCCATCACTACTCTGTTATGTAAATAAATTAAAGTGTTCTTTTTATAGAAAATAAATCTTTAAGAGACCAAATTTTTTAATATAAGAAACATTAAAAATTTAATAAACATACTTTTCAAAAATGTTTATTGGTGACTGCTTTTGTTTAATATATTTCATAGTATTTTTACCAGAGCACTGATACATTATTGTGGATCCAAACAAGTGATGTGCATATTGTATTGTAATCACTAAATCTTAATTAACCCAGGCTTAAGGTTACCATCTGTCAACAAAGACACCTTATGGCAAACACTAGGTTAGAACTGCTTTTACCATTATTTTCTCTGAAACCTTTATCTAAACCACGATTTATTGCTTGTCAACATCTTTACAATTTTCTGAGACAAAGTTCAAGTGAATATGTTAGATTATGTTATATGGATTTTTAGTAAGAATGGTGTTTATTTGTTTTTATTTTCAACATTGTTACACTGAAGAAATACAAAGTGTTCATCTTTGCCACTAATTATTATTTATCTATATAAATATAATAATATTATCTGTTGTATGTCCATGTAACTACTTCACAGGGTGTGGATGGATTTTCACCAAAATTGATATGGAGGATCATTAGGTTCCATGGTACATACAAATTGTATGTAGTACAGTTGAGATGAGTACAGTTCTTCACCCATAGAGGGTACAGCAGACGACTAAATAACAATATAGAAATACTTGCTTCTTCCAGTATCACAGAAGCAGTACATACTGATGAGACTATAATAGATGACTAAATGATAATACTATAGATCCATTAAGGTCGTTGGTACATACAGGGGTACATACAAATTTTCAGTTTTGCATTTTGCCATTTTTGATTCACATTTTTTTACCACTACTTTGTTCCCTGTAGATGGATCTTCACCAAATTAGGTATGGAGGTTCATTGGGTACATGGGGAGATGTATACAATTTTTCAGTTTTGCGTTTTGTGGTTTTTTATGGGTGTTTTTCACCACTACCTCACCTCCTCTGGATGGATCTTCAACAAATTTGGTATTGAGGTTCATTGGGTTCATGAAGAGATACATGCAAATTTGCAGTTTCACATTTTGTGTTTTGCAGATTTTAAGGCGTTCTTGCATTATTTACAATTACATATAAGGGAAGCAACTTTTCATATCCTAAGATAACCTTTCATTAATCAAGAATTTACACAACTTCCGTTCAGGGGACAGGTACTACAGCTAGTTTTGAATAAACTTATTATATAAATGTTGAATTAATTAGGTTTTTTTGCTATTGCAGGAATATCTTTAGCCTCAAGTCTAGCATCCTCAATTTCGTTTTGAATTTCTCGTAAGTGTGTCATGTAAACACTGCTTTTTTCTGTTTTACTCTGACTAGGCAACATCAATGTGGCATATTTATAAGAAATTTCTCTCTTCAACTGCTGCTGCTGATTCCAGAGATTTTAAGTAGAGATAACAAAATGGTGTTAGTTACCAAGCAAGCAGCCAGCGTATTCTTGGTTACTTATTAAAATGTGGCTTGTATATGAGATGGTCAGATATTATTACTGTGGCTTGTATATGAGATGGTCAGATAATATTACTGTGGCTTGTATATGAGATGGTCAGATATTATTACTGTGGTTTGTATATGAGATGGTCAGATATTATTACTGTGGCTTGTATATGAGATGGTCAGATATTATTACTGTGGTTTGTATATGAGATGGTCAGATATTATTACTGTGGTTTGTATATGAGATGGTCAGATATTATTACTGTGGCTTGTATATGAGATGGTCAGATACTATTACTGTGGTTTGTATATGAGATGGTCAGATATTATTACTGTGGTTTGTATATGAGATGGTCAGATATTATTACTGTGGCTTGTATATGAGATGGTCAGATATTATTACTGCATGCTGAGTTATTTGATTGTTTTATGTTTACTAAAAGGGTAACATGGTTTATATATAACTGTTTACTAATACAAGAGATATGTGCTGCTGTGCAAAGCCTAGCCGGGTGCTATTCAGATATGGACAAAGATAGGTTCACCAAAGAATTGCTTCCATTCTGTCATGAAGTCAAGGCAAGATAAACAGTCCAAAAGATTTGCTCTGAGAACTTTGATCTTTACATCTTCACTACGTGTTTCCAAATATTCATATTGCTTTGTGAGTGTATGTATTTGTGCCTGTGACTAACTGCTCAGGTGAGAGATCATTCTCCGTGATGGCCAGGATAAAATACCTTCTTCAAGCTTAGCTCTGCCAAGTATCACAAGGGTGTGATGTGATATCCTTCCAAGAGGATGTCAGAAAGTTTGCTGTCCAAAAAAGCTGTTTAACATACTAAAGCATGAAAATTCAAGTAGTCTCTGTTTTAAACAAAGACACCTATATGCAGTTACTGTAAAGTTAAACCATTGTTTTGGACTTTGTCATGTTTACAGCTAATCACAGAGCAATACTCAGAATAAACAAATATATCAATAGGTATGTGCAAGGTCAGCGTATTTTACTCTATTTACCCCACTCCCGAGATTCATGGCAAGTACAAGGGGTACCATGCTTCAGGACCCCCCAAAGGCCTTAATACGGCCCCAGATTCCATGAGCTTAGTTCTAGGCCTATCAGAAGTAGTACATATTAAGATATGAATATACAGAACTAGTAGTAACTTGTTTTCATTAGTTCAATTTTTAGTTTATTTATTTAGGCACTGTGGACACATTGGTCTAGAAATGTGGTTTAAAAAAAATTCGAGAGCCAGAAGCTTCAGTAGTAACTGTCATTTTCTTTACAGACATCATTGTTAGTTCCCTTATCCTGTAACATAATTCTATTCTGTGGCTTTTTCCTGTCCAGAATTCCTGAAACTAAATTCTACAGGCAGTTTTAATTTACACTGAGTAAACAAAATGACTTCTGTTTCCTATATAATTTTCAGAAAATCACTTAACAGCTTTCGTAGTTGTGTGAAAAAAAATAAGATTCCATACCTACCATGATTCTAACTTTCATTTTCAGGGGAATGTATCCCTTGCACTTAATAGGGAAAGGGGAGAAAGAATACTAAGCACGTGCCTTTAGTTGATCTGTTTATAAATTGTCTAATCTTTTCTACTGAATTAAGAGAAATTCTGCATTTTTTTTTCTCTCGTTGTGATATTCTAATGTTTTCCTGAGGACTTGAGTGGTAAGGTAAAACATATTTCTTGCAAATAATGATAAAAATAGGTTTAATAATAAGGAATTTTGGTTTTTACGTTTAATTTGGTTTGCTTAATGACTTAAAATGTCAAAATATAGTATGTGAAATATATGAAATTTACAAAATAGCAATCAGAAATATGCTATAGTTTTCTATCAAAAATCCTGAGGTCAGGTAAAAATAAATCAATATGAAAGTTTAACAGCCATGTTAACTGTGAAAACTAACCTTTCCAAGCCATTATGCAATTTCAGTTCCATCTGTTCCATCTGATCTTTTTTTCTCTGCAAACAAATACCATGCTTTGGAGTGGACCTTAAAAGAATAATTACCAAAGGTCAAGGATAAAAAAAATCTAAGATCAAATTTGTTATTAATCTCTGAGAAAGTTATGCTAATAGTTGAACAGTAACATTACAATTATCAATTTAGTGCAGTATGTGTTGGTACTCATTACATTTGTTATACAGTTTAAAGTAAATTTCTAAATTTTTGGAGAGAAATTTTCTTATTTTAATAACTAGTCATATAAAAACTCTTAAAAGAAGAAAAAATTAATACACACACACACACACACATATATATATATATGTATTTATTGTAATTATTTGGGTCAAATAACAAGTTCAGTGGTAGAATACTTAAGTATTATGTTAATGAAAACATAATCAAGAACAAAACGAAATGGTAAATACTTACTTTACAGAGAAAAATCTGGACCTTTTATCAAAACACTATATTTCTTTCATTGCTAATTTTAATAAAAATGATATTCTGCAAGCAGTTATTTTTTCTTCAAAGAATTTTTCAGACATTGTCCAAGAACCTAGCTAGCATAAGTTTCCCAAGGAATCTGTTATTTCATTTTAATTTTGTAATAAAATTAACACTTGTAGTTTTTTTTAATGATAAACATGAATAGACAAAACAAAAATACTTCCACCCAATTTTAAGAAAGTCTTATTTTAAAATGCATTGTTTGTTTGTAATTAAGCAGAAAGCTACACAATGGGCTATCTGTGCTCTGCCCACCACGGGTATCAAAACCTGGATTCTAGTGTTGTAAGTCCGCAGACATGCTGCTGTGCCACTGGGGGCGATTTAAGATGTATTAAAGGTTTCGAAAATTTTACCCTCACATATTTTGAAACAGAGTGATAAACTCTTCATTTCTCAAACTAGGCTCAATTTTTATCTTGAACTATAAAATATCCTAACTAATACATACACAACAAGAGGAACAACTGAGTCAATAAACTGTTTTTCCAGCAAATGACAAATTGCATTACACTGACGCACCAAGTCAAAAAAGTAGATTTCTGGCGGGCTCTTTGGTTCTGATAGTGGAATTCCTATATATTAAAAGACAAATAGTTGACAGAGAAAAACAAAGTCAGAATGTGTTAGAAATATCAAAGACAACCATTTATTACATGATTACTTTCTTTGAAAGAAAAAAATTCATGTAATCTACTACTTATACCACCGATTTTAATATCAAATATTATAAAAAATTACTTATTGTGATAAGAAAATGGTTTTAAAATTTGCAGTTAATACTTTAAAACAATCTTTAGACTCATTGTGTACTCTATAAAAAAATGTCTAATCTGAAAAATGTCAGATTATATATATATTTTTATCTATAATTTTAAATTCAATGATTTGTCATTGTCACTTTGAATATAACTGTCTGGTGTACACACATAAGTTTAATAAAATGACACCTACCATACTTTTTAAATTGTTAAGTAAAGTTTAAAATTATTCTCACTATTCTAACCATATGACATATATAAGTAAGTAACTGATCACTTAAACAAGGTTATTATATAGTTAGTTGCCTTGCTCTGATGTCCATAACTCAAAACTAATTATCAGTTTTGATAAACTAATGAGATGAAGTACTGGTTATAACTGTCACCAGGGATTGCTGATTGGGAAGTTTTAAGTAACCACCACTGAGAACCACTATTGCTTGTATTCATGAGAGAATATGATACACAAGTAAATAATACAATCTGATTTCCAGTACTTGCACTTGAGGTCATTTGTATCTTTCAGGACTGTAGCAAGTTAATCACAATGTACCAATAATTTTAGATGGACCCATAGCTAACAATCAGTAAGAGTGAAATTTGAAAACTATGCTGGTCATCTGTGTTGAAAACTTTTACTTATTACTTGATCTCTACGAGCATGTCCCAGTATCTTACATGATAACTGTTTCATTCAAAACTTCTTACCAATCCTATCTGGTAAACTATTATCAGGTTCTGATAGGCTTCCTTTCTTATTCATTTGCAGATTTCATGTCAATAGGATCTTAAATGTTCTCACTTTCAGATATAACCTCTTAGGAGCCGTTTCATAAGAGGATGAATTGTTTCTTGTTTAATACTGGTTCTTTATAGTTCTAGATATACAAAGTTCACTACCACCATCTTCTGATTACAATAATTTTAGGCAATGGAATTCCCTTTCTCATTAGTTCACCTACCAACTATTATTACTCTCCGACGGTTAATTTTAAAGTTATGAACTTCAGAATAGGTCAAATGATTTTATAATAACCTTGTATAAGAAATGTAGCAGAGTTTCTTTTCCTTGGGATGTTGTATTTTCTGTTTGGAAGTCCAAACAGATTACTAATTTATTTATACTCTACCAGTGAAGTGTTTTATTACTGACCAACCAGGGATTATTTCACATTACTTACCTTGTAGCCCCAACTCCAAGGCATAATCAATGTGTTCCACACACAAATACTGTAGAAGAATATCAAATATTTGTACTGCATTCGCTGGTAAGTCCGACTGACGTGAGAGCTAGTAAAAAAAGAAAAGAGAGAGAGAGAGACAACCAACTTCTTGAAATTAATCTGAAATCACCCTGCAAATTTTAGATTGCAGCTGAAAGAATTATACAGTAATGCTCTCATGAATCAAACAGTAGTATCATAAGTAAAACTACAACCAATAATCTACCAATTGATTTCAACAAAACCAAACTAATATTTAAATTAACTATTTTGTTTATGCAGTGAAACTTTCAGAAAGGCAAAAAATGTCCAATTAAAAAACGTTTATGCAATGTTTCTTCAAAATTTAAAGTTCCGATACTATGTTATTTATTTACATTTCACACACAAAATTGAAGTATCTGTAAAAACTTTAAGAATGATTCAAAAACTTTATAAAGTTTACTTACAGTCTGACATCTCTGTAAAGCTATTTTGGTCTCTTGTAAAAGGTTAATAGCCACTTCTTCAGATAAAAAGGTTTCACCTCCGAAGTTTTCAATAGCAGGTCCAAAGTTGATATTTGCTCGGCTACCAATCTTTGCCTGGATGTCACGACGAAGTTCATGAATTCTAGTAAGATATGGATCCTAATTGTATCATTACTGTTTTAGCTTTCTTTCATGATTAAGTATGATGCAAGTGAAACTAAACTTTCTTCATATTAACCCTCTCATCACAGACATATTTTTCTGCACATCACGAGGTTTTAGTAAGTTGCATTCAAAATTTAATTAAACTCTTTTTTTATCATGGTATATCAGTAAATATAATGTAAAAACATAGCTAATAATCCATATTTTAATAGTACATAAGTTAAGTTCTTACTTTTTTAAGGCAATATAAAAAATAAATCTAGAATTTTTCCTAGTATGAGAATTGTGACATTGGCTCTCTAGACATCCCCTCTTCTTCAACATATTTACCACCTCTCCAAGAAGTATGAAATTTAATGCAAATTACTCATCATAATATCGTCATCATTCAGGCAAAGTATAATTTTCATAACCTTCAATCTTGTTTGGTTACAGAGCCATGTTTGTTTGTAGTTAAGCACAAAGCTACACAATGGGCTATCGAAACCCGGTTTCTACAGACATATCGCTGTGCCACAGAGCCATGAAAAGGACAATCAGACCACTCTTGCTATGCCCACGTCACATCCTCTCTTTCAGAAATTGCCAATACTTCTCTCTGATGTTTGATATTATGTTATTTACCAATATTATATTATAACCAATAGAAAGCCAAGGTTTCATCTATCAAATGTTGTATTACATTCCATTGATTTCTGTAAAGATAACTGTCAAATTCTCTGTTAGTTCAAGCTTGATTCACACAGCAAACACATCAACAAGCTTAGATGTAGTTTTAATGGCTCTTGTCACATAGTCTGAAGGCCAGAAAAACTGTGATAGTTATGGAAAAGTTCATGCATTTTGAACGTTATTATTATGTGTTCTTTGATGCATTATTTAATTAAGCAAAAAATTATGGTTAAGTGACATTGACAGCAAAAAAAAAGGAAAACCCAAATAATTACTTTTTCCTTATTTTTCACGTGTATTCTTTATTTATTATTATTATAAAAGCAACTATAATGTAAAAATAAGAAACTTTTTACATTAGTTAAGGTTAGATTAGGTAAAATAAGTAATAATATAAAATTTTATCATGAGTTACTCTCTCGAGTAGCTCATGCATAATGCAGTTCGATAGCGTAATGTGAGCTACACATTCGGCAAGTGATTTACAACTTATAATAGCCTGATTAGTAGTTAAACAGGGCTCAAAGGGCAATAAAACTTTAGTATAAATAAAATGTATAATGTTAAGAAAAATGTGGTAATTTAAATTTATTTTGATTTTTATGGGGGGGGGGACAAGGTCAGTCAAATTTATCCACCTTGTATAAAGTTAGGATAGAGAAAATAACACATAAAATATAAAGTTTTACTGAGAAAAACGTTAGAAATTTATTTAGGAGGTTTCAGAGATTAGGCAAATAAAATTTGAGATTTTTGAGACGAAGAAAGGTATTTTTAATCTTAATGTGGAAATCACTTAACACTTGCACTAGTATATAGAAATACAAATCTTTAGTAAAAATACTTCATTAAAAAATCTGATTTTATGTGCACAAAAGACTTGTAATGTTTAATAAAGTCTGCCAAATGCTGTGAAGATACACAAAGTGTATTAAAAGTTATAGCATGGAAACTATAACAAGTAAAAAATGGTTACGAGGTTGGTTGATTCAACCAACTTCATAGCAAGAGAGTTAACAGACAGGAATAAATGCTTATAAATCACATAGTTCAGTGACAAAAACAGTTTGGAAATATGCTTAACTAGGGTAAAAAATTGACATTCATTATTGTTCTTATTTCTTCACCTCTGGAAAAAAGTCAGTTATTGACAATATAAAATCAAGTACCTATGGTCTATAAACATATTTCCTGTACTTAAAAGGTGCAAAGGGTAATCCATGTACTGGAAAATGTCAGGTAAATTTTTATTTCATTTTATGAACAGATGTAGTGCTATGAAAGATATTACTATACAGTTATAAAATGAATTTTGTTTTATCTTTTCGATCATTACTATCAGAAAATAAGGAGAATGGAACTTACCCCCCAGAAGGAATATGTTTCTTTTGATGATTTTTAGAATCATAATATCTTTGAAGGATGGCTGCAGACTTGTCTTTCAAAGAGCGAGCCTCTACACTAACATACGTATCAAGGTATCTAGCAAATATGTTCTTGGTCAGTTTGTTCAGAAATGCTGAATCGTTACCCATTTTGTAAATTGAAAGGTCGTTAGAAAGCTTCATGGTTCTAAAAGTTCAAGAAAACAATGGTTAATGGTTCTATGCCAAAACATTAATATTCATATAATTAAGTATCAGTGTCTAGAAACATTTAACAGTTTTGAATAAAGAACAAAGTAATTTTTATTAATTATCCTGCTGTTGTTTTTATTATTGAATTTTGCACAAAGCTACTCAAGAACTATTAGCACTAGTCATTTCTAATTTTGAAGGTGAAAGAATAGAGGAAATACAGCTAGTAAACACCACTCACTGCCATCTCATGGGCTTATCTAATCAATTAGAAGGATCTGACTATCAATATTATAATACACCCATGGTGCTAAAGTGTGGAGACAACTTTTTGTTTTTGGCAGTAAAGGGGTGCAAACCTTAGATCCACAGTCTGGTGTACTAACCACAGGGATGCACTCAGCCAATTATTAACCATAAGGGTTAAGTCTTCATCAGACATTATTTCAATGATAAGAAAGTTTTGGTTACTAAAGAACATTAATAAACATTAAGTTTTAAATTTTAGTTTCCTTTATCTCACTATCAACATAAAATAAATCATCAAGAAAATTCTGGAAAAGTTCTAGAATTATTAAAGTTAGGGAAAAAAAATTGCAACACAGTAAAAAATGTTAA